TTAAGCTTATTATTTAGCTTTTTAAGAAACCAATTTTTTTATTAGAATCTGATTTTTTTTATTAGCTCCATTAATAGGTGTCATTACTTTAAATATAATTTGATTTTGGAATTTTTTTTCAAAATTTGAATGACTCAAATTAATTCAACAAAGTAATCTTTACGAATTATTAGTCTTGAATCATAATCATATTAAGATGACGGGAAAAAAGTATTATTAATTTAATTACATTATTTCATTGATAAAGCTGATTAAACACAGTTTAAATACTTTCGCATTGATATGTCAATCCGAACTAAATCACTTGCCAAACTGAATCATTCGATGTCTTAAAGTGAATGAAAATATTTGATTATCCAAGACTAATTGTTACTTGTTAACAATTTCATCTAATTATGATCGAACATTCGAGTTCATCATTAACAAATGATCTACAAACGCGTGATATATAACCAATCAATTAATACGTGACCAATTAATCGTAATCGATATCGATATTTATTTTATCATAAAACACATATTTTAGTCAATTTCATTATTCATATATATTACTTTTAGCGTAAAATAATTTACGTGATACAAAATAATGTCCAGTAATGACTCATAATGCATAATTTGAAAAAAATCAACGTAATTGATTAACTACCATATTCATTAACGTAACCGATTGTCATACTGTACACTCTGATTAAAAATAGTGCAACAAATTTAAATGAGTCGACGATGACTAAACACAGCTTGGAACTTTATTTACATTGATCAATTATGCAAGATGCGTCTTAGTGATTGCGAAATTGGATTTACTTTCTTTGCTCATCACGACTTAGATTAAGTCTTCTATGACATATTTTTAGTAATTTATTATTTTTTAAAAATGAGTAAAGTTGACAAAAGAAAAAGCTGGAAAACGTATTTTATTTATTTGTTTTTTATATATAAAACATATTAATAAAGATATTAATACTAATTATTTTTCGGACTTAATTATTACGGACACCGGACACCGGACAGCTGGACAGCTGGACGGGAGGAATAACTTGACAATGTCCCGGAATGTCCCAGTCAGAACCATTTATGTGAAAGCTAGTACCTAACATTAAAGATTAGACACAACAAACTAGTAATGAAGCTAATAAGAATGCAAGAAATACTAAATCTCGTGAGAACTGTGATTTTAATTCCACTTTGTATAAAATTAATCCAATACTATCTTTATAGAAAATTAATTTTGATAAAAGTATTACTTCATATAAAAATCTCTAATTTCAAAATTGAAAATGAATTTAGAAATAGGAATTACCACTTAATAATAAATCTCAGTAAGATTCACAATAATCCATTTATGATTAATATTATTCTTCACTGAATTCGTCTCCTGTTGATATAATTCAATCGCTTTATCATAAAATAAATCAATTTTGATAATCTCACTGATGCCAAATTCTTATAACTTTAAAAAAGCAGGCTTTTCAGTTCTATGACCAAGTTTATTAACAAGACCCAACATAATATTGTGCTAATATGTTACTTTCTCTGATGCATTAATAAACGAGTCAAATTCTTCGTCATATAGTTAACTATTTTAATTTTTTTTTAGATGGAATGTTTTCATCAATGATAAATACTATTTCTTTATATCCATATTATCAAAATTTTGAATAGCTTGAGAAAGTTCCTAATTATTAAATGTTATCCTTTCAATAATAAATTATTTAAGCTCCTTTCAATATTTGATGATACAAATTATTACTATCCGATAACGTTGAAGATTAGTCAATTGCTTTTAATTTTTACTAATGATCGGACGCACGATCTCGTTCATTTTCTTAACATTCTAAAAAATATAAATAATATATTGTAAAATTATAAGATTAAAGGTTTATTTTATCAAAGGAACTACATGTCAGTATAATTGTATATATAAACTTCTATAATTGGTGTGGTGTATTAAAAACGGGCTTTTCTCAACGACCTTGCAAAATTTCTAAAGCCAATTGTTTATCTTATCATTTTAATGGACTAATAAACTACCAGAGTGCTATTAAAAAAATTACACGTTTTTATGCCTTCATTATGTAATAGGATACGGCATAATCTATCGAAATTATTGTCCAAGTAAGAATATTGAAGTTTTCTTTCAAATAATATTAAGATCAGAATTATCGCATTTAAATAATTTTTTTGCTTAAATAATTTGATTTTCTAATAGAGAATAAAAGAAATAATCATATTTTCTTTTTGTGAAATCAAATAAAAATATTGTGCACTGAGTATTTTATAATTCAATAATATTGTTACAAGTTTGTATATCATGTTGAAACTTGATCTAAATTAAAAATAATATACATATATAATTTTTACAATAATCTTTTCCGAATCCTCCAGTGTCAATTTTTGAATAATAAAACTCCTTAGAAATGGCGACATACTTCGGTCTCCGATCAATGATTCTTATTATTGTTTTCAAACTTTTAAATTTTTTATAAGGTTTATAATTATTATTACTTATTTCCTCTATTATTATGCCATTTAGAATTGCAGAATTTGCCATGTAACCAATATACGAAATTATTTTTCTGTTCTAAAATAAAACTTCTTTATTAGATAATCCTAACTAAAATGAATTAAACTTTCATTCTTGAATTTTGTGTAGCGCTTTTCTAGTACTGGCAAAATATTTCCGCTATCAATCCATTTAAAAATGAAAGGATAATCTGCTGCAACAAATTAAAGTTATATAGGTTTTGTACTTTAAATTATTTATTTATTTTTTCAAAAAAAATTCTTTTTTTTAAAAATCCTTAACAAAATGAATGCCCTTATAGCCATTTTAGCTGTGATATCTTTTATGACCTTTAAAATACTGTATATCAATTAACAAAAGTACCTAAAGGACTTAAAATGTACCGACATTAAGTTTTTTAAATTTACTTAGTACAATATTAGCTAATGCTGGATCAGATCAGCGTTGGGAAACCTCACGTGAGACTTTGGAGAAAGAAGGAATCGCAAAGGTTAGTAATATTATGGTTATTCATCCTATCATTAAAACAGAATCTGAAAAATTTTTAATAGTCTTGGTTTAACGGATAACGGATTCTCGTGGTAACCGATTTGGAATTGGCAAAAGATATAATTATGAAAACAGGTTACAATATTTTAAAATTTATTTATTTAATTTTATCATAATTTTAACGTAAAATATTTTATGAATTAGATTTGTATCCTAAAGCTTTACTCAAAGAATTGTTTCCAAAATCTTTAATAACTCAATATTATGGCCGTGTAAACTTAGTATTGTCTAATGGAGACGTGAGTAAAATATAGTACAAATGTTTTAACCTTGTAATCGAAGCTAATCGTTGATATTTAAACTTATATAGGATTGGAACGTCATCGGTATGTGCATTATTTATTTACATGTAGTATTACATAAATAATTAATTTCTTTTATAATTTAGTCGTATTGCAATTTGCAATCAAACCTTCTTTTCGAAATTTGCCAGAACACGTTTTTATTGAATCGAAATTATTGAATGTCATGGAAAAAGTTGACAATAAACCTATTGAAATTGAAAATCTCATACATAGGATGGCTTTAGATGTTCTTGGAAGAGCTGACTTTGGTTTTGATTTTAATGTATGAATCAATTTTTCTATATATATAGATATAAAAGTACTAACGTTAAACTTGTATTAATTGATATTATTGATGGTTGTAATTAGGGATGTTAACGGTCCGGTCCGGATTGACCGGACCGATAGGACCGTCAGTCGTCCTATAGTCGGCCCGAATTATGGCAGTGTAACGTTTATACAATTCCAAAAAAGGAAATTTTTATTTTCGCGAAAATTGAAGTTTGTTGCACGAGGTTACATAAGTTTCCAAAAAGGAAATTTTGTTAATTCCGGTAAAAATTATGCGAAGTATTGTAACAAACTAACGCCAAAATTTTTTTTATGGGACCGATCGGTCCCGTCCTCGGTCCAAAACCGGACCAAGACGGACCGGACCGGTCCGTTAACATCCCTAGTAATCAAGAATATTGAAGATCCAAATAATGTATGTCACTACTTATAATGAAGTGATGGAAGAAATAAACAACCCACTTTATCTTCTTTTTTCATTCCTTGATTATTTTCAGAGTACTGAAACACTTAAGAAAGTAATAATTTATACGATGAAATCGTTGAAAGCAAACGTAAATCAGAAAACGGAAGAAATAGAAAAAAAAATTAATAATAATTCTGCTGACTTATTAGAGCATATGATACAAGCCTGTAATGACCCAGAAATCCTACTTTAACAAGCGAAGAATTACGAGTAAGAATTATAATTTATATAAAATAACTTTAGAATTACTAATATCAGTTATTTTATAGCATAATCTTGCAATTTTTATGTTGGCTGGTCATGATACTAGTAAGAAGAATTTTAATTATACATTACGTTTTGTTTATCATTATTATATTTATTACAGTATTTGCAAAATAACGGATCACCTAATTCATACGCAGTCATACGCAATCATACGCCAGTAATTCCGGCCAAATTATAATTTTGGCCAGAATTATAAAATGCTATGCCGATCATATCCTTTTTTGGTGATAGCGTTCCACAATTTTTTTCCAAAAAATGAAAATTTCCTTTTTAGAACCTGTGTAACAAAAATTTCTAAAATGGAAATTATAATTCTGGTCAAATTCATAATTTGGCCAGAATTATGCCGATCAATTATGCTCTTTGTGCATGACTGCGTATGAACCTTCGGAGCAAAAATGAATTGGGTGGTCCATTATTTTTGCAAATAGCTGTAATGCAAACAATTTTTGTTATTCCATTAATGAAATTAGCCGCGAATGCTTTAACAACTATTTTATATCTTTTAGCCGTTCACAAGGTATTGAGTTTAAAAATTTCAAAGTTTCGTGCAATATATAATTATCTTTGTTTAATTTTTTTATTAATAAGGATGTGCAAAAAAATGAAATATTACGTGTTCTTGGTGATAATTTGATGCTAAGTGTGGAACGACAAAAAGAATTAAAATATATAAACATGGTTATAAATGAAAATCTGAGATTATATCCTCCGGTATGCGTTTAGAGGGACTTTCTAACATTTAATTTTAAATTTATTTATTAACAGTCTTCTTTAAAATCTATAATATATTATTAGATTCCATAATTACCTCGAAGATTTAATTCACAAGAAATTAAATTCCGAAATCATGTAATTCCAGCTAAAACGTCTATAGTATTATTCGTTTATGGAGTCCATCATTCATCAAAGAATTGGGAAGATCCCGAAAAATTTATTCCTGAAAGATTTGAGAATGAAAAACATGATCATTATGCTTGGTTAAGTTTTGGTGGCGGTAATAGATTGTAAGTTAAGTTTATTTTATGTGAAGAAAAAATTAAATTCTATTAATATTAAATTAAATTTATTTTTGATAAATTAGATGTTTATTGAACAAGGAATAACTCTGTGCGCTTTATAAGTTACTTAGTTTTAATATTTATATTATTTACTAAAGTTAGTTTTTATATTTAATATAGTAAGAAAATATGAAGTATCTTTACCAGCAGATAGTAGTATTCATAAAGATAAATTAAGAATTGTAAGTGATGGTAGTGGAACTATGGGTCTACATCCAATACCTTTAATATTTAAAAGAAGAACCGATTAAGTAAATTTATTTTTTTAAAAAAATCATTTTCCAGTTCCATCGTGCTCAATACTATCCCTTCGTATGTAAATCTTGGCAGGCAAATTTGCCTGCAAGCAAAATTATGAGCCAAGGAAAATCATTGCTCATTAAGACGAATCCAATAATGGTTATGAGCCAAGGAAATTCATTGCTCATCAAGACGATGGTGGTTATGAGCCAAGGAAAATCATTGCTCATCAAGACCGAATCCAAAGATCAGTTGCAAATTGGGCAGATCGCAATAATTATATGCTTTATATTTTTTCAATTTGTGACAGATTTATCGCACCTAGAGATACGTGGTTACCACCATTAGATTCGTCTTGATGAGACAATTCCAATGAACTGTATATAATCCTTCTATGATCACCGAATGGCTCATAATTTTGCTTAGAAATTTATTTGCCTGCTTATTTGAATCTTATTTGTCTGTAAAATTTTCAAGCAAGATTTCTAGTCATAGAAACATGGAATACAGCTCATTGGAATCGTTTCATTAAGACGAATCTAATGATAGTAAACACGTATCTCTAGGTGTGATAAATCTGCCACAAATTGAAAAAATATAAAGCATATAATTATTGCGATCTGCCTAATTTGCAACTGATCTACCACCACCATTGGATTCGGTCTTGTTGAGCAATGATTTTCCTTGGCATAACCACCATTGGATTCGTCTTGATGAGCAATGATTTTCCTTGGCTCATAATTTTGCTTGCAGGCAAATTTGCCTGCCAAGGTCTACAAACGAAGGAATAGTCATATGATTTTTTTTATTCATTCGTTTTTATTCACCTTTACTTTTTATTTGTGTCTAGCTAAGCCAAAATAGTTGATCAAAAGGTTGTTATGATGCAGCGATATATTATTTGTGATTATATCCAGTGGTAATATGACATACATTTATGATTATAAAAATTGTCGCACGACTGTACGGTATAGTTTTAAGAATCTATTTATATAATGTCGCTAAAGAAGCATAAGAAGTATAAACATATGCCTTGTTTCATAGTTAGATCTTCGTTATATGAACGACCAATAATATTCTTGCACGACCAATCTGCTACTATGACTAGTACATATCACGTAATTCAATAAAATAGATTTTCACGTACGTCATTGGATGTCGGGATGTCGGGAATATAAAATCAAAAATAGAAATTTGTTTAGTGGGTATATAAGGGAGTAATTATTATCACGAAGACGTGGCAATTTTTAATAAATGTATAGTATTAAATTAAAATTAGTTGAATGAACATTATTTGTTTGCCTCATAAAGTTATGCAGAGTCATAATAATATACTTCAGGAGCAGGTAATCTCTAAATATTTATGTGAATCACCTAAATGTTTATTTACAATTTATAATCATAAATCTGTTTTTTTCGATTTATCAGGCTGTAATTGTCCAAAATTCTTTTTTCGATTTAAATGGAATTTCCATAAATATCGGTTATCAACTTATTATCTAAATATAATTTTGAAACTTCATATAATATTTTGTACAATTGGTTCCTTGTAATATTAAGTTTTATTTTGTAACTGCTGAAAGTTTATCCGTTAAATTGGTAGTTAACCGACGGGCCGGTTAAGTTACGTCCGGTAATTTTGATTATCAGTCGAAGTATATATAAAGCCTCCAAAATAAAATGTTAACTCTCAGTTAAAAATATTTCGAACTTATTTCCTTCTATTTTAAATATATATTCCTTTTTCTTGCAATCAATTAACAAAATGAATTACATTGTAGTTATTTTAGTTTTATCCTTTATAGCTTATAAGATTTATCAAAAAACAAGAGTACCTGAAGGACTTAAAAATATACCGACATTGAGTTTCCTAGATCTTCTTATTGAAATATTTACTAAAGTTGGGCCAGATAAGCGTTGGGAAAATACGCGTGATGTTTTAGAGAAAGAAGGAATTGGGAAGGTAATAATACCTTATAAATATTCATTTTCATTAAAAATTTCTTAAAAAATAAATTTTTTTAAATAGCTTTGGTTCAATGGACAATGGACTATTACGGTAACGGATTTGGGGCTAGTAAAAGACATAATGACAAAAACAGGTAAGGAATTTTATTAAAGATATTACTTACTGTAGTTCTTTTATTGGCTAGATTTTAACTTTATAATTTTTAGATTTGTATCCTAAAGCCTTACTCGAAGAGTCATTTCCCACGTCTTTAATAACTAAATATTATGGTACTAATGTAGTACTCTCAAACGGAGACGTGAGTATGGTTTTTTAATAAATCACATGACTTATTTTTCTGAAACTAATGATAGATTAATTATTATGTAGGTTTGGAAACGCCATCGGTATGTTCAAATTGCATTAATTATTAAGAATAGCATTTATGATATATAAATAATTAAGTTCCTTTTATCTTTTAGTCGTATTGCAAATCCTTCTTTTCGAAATTTACCGGTACATGTATTTGTTGAATCTGCCACGAAATTGTTAAATGTCATGGAAAAGATTGACAATGAACCAATAGAAGTTAAAAGTCTTATGCATAGGTAAGGAAAGATATAGTGTAAACTTCTATTTCTTAAGTTGCTAATTACTAAGAAGCAAAATTGATAGATTGGCCTTGGATGTTCTTGGAAAAGCTGCTTTTGGCTTTGACTTTAACGTAAGAATATCATATATATATCTATTTATTATTTAAGGGTACACTTATGTTTTGCTATCAATTTATAATTAACATTTATTGGTAATTAAAAACTAGAATCTCGAAGATCCAAATAACGTATATGTCACTACTTATAATGAAGTGATGGCAGAATTGAGCAAACCATTATATTTTGTCTTTTCATTCCTTGATCATCTTCCACGTTTCGAAGCACTTAGGAAGATAGCAAAACTTAATAGTTTATATGATGAAATTGTTGAAAGCAAACGTAAATCAATGAAAATGGGAGAAATAGAAAAGAAAATAAATAATAATTCTGCTGACTTGTTAGAGCATATGGTATATGCTTGCAATGACCCGGATAATCCAACTTTGACAAATGAAGAATTACGAGTAAGAATTATGATTTATTTAAATATGATTTTTTTCTAACTTTGGAATTTTATTAAATATCAATATTTTTTTGTATTTGTAGCATGATCTTGCAATTTTTATGTTAGCTGGTCATGATACTAGTAAGAACTTTAATTATACGTTGTTTTTATTTATTTTATTGCAGTTTTATTAATATAAAAAATCTTTATTCTCCCAATAATGTAATTAGCCGCGAATGCTTTAACAACTATTTTATATCTTCTAGCCATTCACAAGGTATTAATTAAGAATTTCATGCAAATGTTCTTTCTTTTTTCTATATAATTAAATTAATTACCTTTACTTTCTCATTAAAATAAGGACGCACAAAAAAAAGTTCGTGATGAAATATTACGTGTTCTTGGTGATAATTTAATACCAAGTGTAGAGCAACAAAAAGAATTAAAATATATGAACATGGTTATAAATGAAAACTTGAGATTATATCCTCCAGTATGTATTAAATGACTTTTTTAACATTTAATTTAATTTCATTTATTAATTATCTTTAAAATTTTAAATATAGGTCGCACAATTACCTCAAAGATTTAATTCACAAGAAATTAAATTCCGTAATCATGTAATTCCAGCAAAAACACCCATTGAATTATCCATTTATGGAATTCATCATTCATCAAGAAATTGGAAAGATCCTGAAAAATTTATTCCTGAAAGATTCGAGAATGAAAAACATGACCATTATTCTTGGTTAGGTTTTGGTGGCGGTAATAGATTGTAAGTTGATAATTATATATGAAATTTTCCAGCACGTGACATTTAACCAATCAAATACGTCAAATATCCTTTGTTATAACGAATCAGCCAATTAAATTCTTTAAATTCTTCGTTATAATCTAAACCGGAGGGTTCGTTATATCGAGAGCTGACTGTGATATATGAAATTTCGAATTTATCTAAAAAAAAAAATTTTATTCCATAAATAGATGTTTAGGAATTAATTTCTCGCTTATTGAACAAAGGATAATGTTATGTGCTTTATGTAAGTTATTTTTTTGATCTAATAATTTTTTTATTTTATTTATTTTATTAAAAATTTTATTAAACTAATTTTTATATGCCATTACAGTAAGAAAATATGAAGTATCTTTACCAGCAGATAGTATTCATAAAGATAAATTACAAATTGAACCTGAAGTTAGCGGAACTTCAGGTCCACATCCAGTACCTTTAATCTTTAAAAGAAGAACAGAATAAATATTCGTAACTTTAGAAATAATATTAGACTTATTTTGTATTATTTGTAACTGTATTTTGATTATTTATTTTATATTAATTAATAATTATACATACATTTGAAATAATTGCATAAATAAAAACAAATCATATACTACCAAGTTCAAATTTAAGCTCTTTATTTACTTCTTTTATCCATAAAAATTTAATGTACATAAATATTAAAAATACTGATTATATTATTTATCCAATAATTATTTGGTACTGTAGTGTCAAAAAGTTTGTGCGATCAAATGGAATTAGAAAGTGTCAAATTTGCGAGGACAATTTAAAGGACTTTTCTCAACTTCATTTAAATCACATTATTGCAAACACTATCGGTAGTGACAAAAGTGACAAATCTGCATTTAAATGTTGAAGTTGATTTATCCACAGCCGTATTTACGCTTTTTAGATTGCCATACCTTTCTAACCTTTTTCTCTCTGCACTAATAAACTAAATATGTGTTGAATCAAACTTTGAAAAGTTGTAAGATTAAGTGCCGATTCGTCTAAGATATTAAAAATAACCCTATAAAAAATTTATCCGTTATTTCTAAAAAAAACTCCGTAAAAATGAGCTTTTCACGGATCCATTCACGAAAAATGTAAATAACCCGTGATATAAAGTTATTAATTCCGGAAATATGACCTTTACGGAAAAAAGATGGAATATAAAAAACGGATCGACT